CAACCACACACCCCGCACATCCGGGTCACTCACAACCCGCACACTGCACCCCTCCTTTCACCACCGGCACGTGCTGCTGCCCTCCCCCCACGCAATCCACCACCCTCACACTGCACGCCCCCCGCACCGCACATCACCCACCCTCCACTGCAAGCCCACCGCACAGCACATCCCACCCACACCACAAGTGCTGCCTGCCACCGGCCACAACCACCACACCGGCCACCCCACCACCCGCCACATACCACAACACAGCACCCCCACAACCAGCCCCCACAGCACCCACCACCCAGCACAGACCCACAGCAATCCCACACCCAGCACCGACCCACTCGCGCACGACAGCAACCACCGCGATCCTGTCCTCGCACCACTGCCACCACAGCAGCAGCACCTCGCATCAGCAGGGCTGCCAGCGAACTTTATTCACAGCTAACTAGTCTGCTGCTTCTTTCCTCCCTTCTTCCCTCTCTCCCCTTCCTCCCTCTCTTCCCTTGCTCCCTCACTCCCATACGCGACAGCGCGAAATCGATCTGCGCGGGCATACTGCATGGCGACCGACGCTAACGACGTCACCAGAAACGCCACACCCCGCTGACGAAGCCAATCGTCTCCCTGTGAGCCAGCGAGCCACTGCGTCCCCAGCGCTGCTCCTTACGGGCGGCACGCGGCAATTAACACCTGACAAACAAAGGCAATCTGAGCGGTAGTGTCGCCTTACGCGCGCCGCGTACGTACGCCCCGGGTGCTGCGCGTGCGCGCACCAATAATTGCCTCATTGTGTGCGAGCGCACACATATCTGGTGATCAACACGGGATTCAGCGTGACGCGGTAATCGAGAGGGCGCGTTTCCAGGCACTTGAGCGTTTCAATCAAATGTAATGCCTAAATAAATACGAAATCTTATTTTCTACCAAGTCTCAATGTTTCTCTACTGCTCTTTCCCTATTATGCGAACTTTCTGTATGTGTGTTGTGTGTGTTGTTTTGCAAACCACGCTGGTTGCAGCACACGCTAGTGCTGCACATTGACACCTAATATATAGGGAATACTTAGTGGTAATAAATATAATGTAAATACAATAAATAAGTAATAAAATAATGTTAAAAAAAGCTGATATATTTATGTGGTCCGTGCGTGCGTGCGTGCGTGCATGTGTACGTGCGTGCATGCGTGCGTGTTTACGTGCGTGCTTGCGTGAGTGTGTGTATCTGCATGCGTGCTTAAACGTAGTTCTCTCTCTTCGTTCTTGGCAGCTGAACTCGGAGACTACAACCCGGATGAGCATCTGTCTCACTACCTGTCTGAGCTTCGCTTCATCCCCGGACAGACGGGGGAGTTTGAGCGAGAGGTGGAAGAGCAGCACAAGCAACACAAGTAAGGCGCATTGAGACACTTCAAGATGCGTTGAGACGTGCTCGAGATGAGTTGAGACGCGTCTGAGGCGCGGTAATAGACTCGATGCGGGTGCAGCATGAATGTGGGGGGAGGGGGCGAGTGTGACCATTCCATGCAGCTATGCAGCCTCCAGTAGAGAGAAAGTGTGTTAACTACTGTCAAGAATGAACGATGGTGTATAGACGTGAGAGGAGGAGTAGAGGCTGGAGTGAAGGGAAGGGTTGTACAGGAGTGTGGGGGATCCATGAGTATGTGGGCGAGTTGATGCAAGGGTATAGGAGGGGTTCATGGATTTGGAGATGGGACAGTGCAGTGGTGTGGGAGAGGGGTAATGCATGAGTGTGGGGAAGGTTGGTGCATGAGTGTGTGTGTAGGGGGGGGGGGTCCATACGTGTGGGAAGAGGTGATGCATGAGTGTGTCGTGGGCAGGGGATCCATGAGTGTGGGGGAGGGGTGATCATGGCATGTGAGTTTGGAGGGAGTGTCAAGGAATATTGGTGGTGTATATATAGGCATAAGAGGAGGGGTGGCATATAGGTTTGTGTGGAGGGGTGATGCCTGAGTGTGCGAGATAAGAAGACGCTTGGAGAACTTTGGGGGAAATTACTTTGTCTGATGATCCTCTTTCCCGTGTCACAGAGGTCAGACTCCCGCCGATGCCGAATTCAACTATCTCGAGCATGCGAAGCGGTTGGACATGTACGGTGTTGACCTTCATCAAGCCAGGGTGAGCTGCTCATACGTAATAGATGTTAACTTATCACTGGCCTACCCGTTCGATCTTCAATTAAGGATCTAGTACTATCTAAGTCGTATCAAGTAAGGATGTCGGTAAACTATACTTCCAGCTTGCTGTAACCCAACTTGCCTGTCAAAAGTCTTCGTTTAACTTTGGAAAATAATATTGATGCTGCTGATACTGGTGAATATGATGCTGGAGACGCTCATGCTGTTACTAGTGGGGATGGTCACAGTAATGATGATGACAGCAGTGGCGGCTGTGACAATGATAGCACTGGCAATGACGACGAACATGGGGGTCCACGTACATAATGTAGCGTTAATTCAAGTGTTATATAATTCTAGCGTTACTATATGTTTTTGCAGGACCAGAGTGGAGTAGAGATCATGCTAGGCGTTACAGCAGTGGGCCTTGTTGTCTTCCAGAATCATGTCAAGATTAACACGTTTTCATGGTAAGCAGGGAGCGCATGTATGGTTTTATTTGGGTTTATTTCTGTTTCTTTCCTGGCTGCTTTTCACTTTGAGAAGTATACAAAATAGCTCAATTATAAGATTTGTTATTTAAAATAAAGATAATTAAATTAACTAAGAGCTAGGAGAATGAAAATCAGACCTTCTAATTTGCTTTTTGGGAGTGCTCTGGGGCGTGGGCATAGTTGCGCTCCTCCGTAAAAGGTGACGCGTGACACGACATATTATGGGTTAGCTGAGAACGTACGAGCAGCTATCAATCAGTGTTACGTTTGATACATTTATCATTAGGCGTTTATATCGAAGCGAAACCGGTAAATCGGTTTCCTAAATCACGTGATCAGCGGTTTGATGAAAGCGCTTTTGTTACATAAAAACAACGCAAGATAGATCACCATTTCGTTAGGATTTAGCTGATCTTTGTACGTTTTTATAACACATTAACTTATTATTCTTATATAATCATTTATTAAGAAAACTACTTACTAACTTACGTTTGACTATCCGCCATATTGAATGTTGAAACCGTCTGAAATCGCTCGCTGGGCGATTTCGACGGTTTCGCAAAGCACTTTCGCAAACCGTCTAGATAAAAACGAGAAACGACCAAAGCGCTTTCACGAAACCATCCAGATAAATGTAAGATTTGCGAAACCGTAAAGTGCTTTCGCTTAGATAAAAACGCCTATTGTATGCACCCATACACAGATTCGTTTCTGCACGTGTTCATGGGTGAGTGAATGTGTGTATGTGCGTCTATGGGTGTTCTCGCGTGTGTGCGTGCGTGCGTGCGTGCGTGCATGCATGCATGGCAGCAAGTGCACCATTCGCATTGCAACTGCCTTAAAGAATTTCCAATTAATACCTAATTATTATTGGCAAAAACAAACAAATACAATCTCGACATTCGTTTCCGATTTCAGGGTGAAGATTATCAAGATATCGTTTAAGCGGAAGCAGTTCTTCATACAGCTGCGACGAGAAGCGGTGAGCATCGGCGCGTACACATAGCATTGCAGTAGTATGCGTATATGGGAACCACACTACGTATGTGCGTGCGTGTGTTCATGGGTGGGTGTGCGTGTGCGTGCATGTGCGAGTGTGCGTGTGCGTGCATGCACGTGTGTGCATGTGCGTGCATGAGCGAGTGCGTGTGCGTGTGCGCGTGTGCGTGTATCTGCGTGTGCGTGTGCGGGAATTTGTGCTTGCCCGCATGCGTAATTTGCGTATCACAATCAGCAGGCCTCGGCTAATGTCCACAGAATCGTAATCAGGAATAATAGACGTACATACATGCGTTTGCATCGATGAATGTTGTGGGTAATTGCAACATGAGAACAATCATACTCGTCCACATCCTTTATTCGTCCGTAAGTGTTTTAAGCATAATTTCTAGTTGCTCTTATACGATCATATTCTGCAGAAACGATCGCATGAAACCGTGAATAATATAAAGTGAGTTAGTATGCGTGTACTACAAAACATTGTACATACGGCAGCGCTGCCAGTAGAATACGTGTTCAGTGAGGTGAAATATTTCACGTAAAACAGCATAACAAGTCGTATCACCACAGTATATAATAGATAGTAATTAAGTTACAGAATGCATTTAATTAGTATATTAGATTGCCATATGTATGTTTTCATACTGTTAACATCCATTCCTGCCTGTTAGCACGCTTTCATGTACAACTTTCTAAGGAGTGATAGGCAGGTAAGCTGATTGTGGCTAATCTGCATGTAAGATTGACCTACTATTTCTAGGTAACATAACCATGCCAGTTGAATGATGTTGCTATATCGGTCAAGCTAGGTCAGTTTATACATGATATGCGTGTGTATGAAATGACTTTGTTGCATTTCGTTGCCAGGCATTCTTTTAGAATTTCCAATGACAATAACGATTGGCTAGTTTCCTGTCAGTCTGTATGAAGTATATCTGACCCAGTTTTGTGACTTCACCAATGCATCTATTATACACCATTGTTTAGTATTTTCTCTAATTTATACCTGTGATGAAGAAATATAAATATTTCTTTCCCAAAACGTTGGCTAACATTCCATATCATTAAGTATCCATTTAAAATATTTCGATAATGTCTCCACATGGTTGTGAATAATTCCATCTAACTAGGAGGGAATGGTGTTTATTGATGAGATTTATCACGAATCTCAGAATCATGTCAAGATTAACACGTTTTCATGGTAAGCAGGGAGCGCATGTATGGTTTTATTTGGGTTTATTTCTTTTTAGCTCGCCTTGACATCGTCAAGATGAGCTATTGACATGGGGTGTTGTCCGTCGTCCGTCCGTCCGTCCGTCCGTTTGTCCGTCAACATTTGGCTATGGTCAACGATAACCTGAGAACCGTTTGACCCATATGTTTCAAATTGCATACAGTTGTTACTCCTATGGGAGAGATGTGAACGTCCTATTTTGGAGCACGCCAGTCGACCTACTTTCGAGCCAAGCTCACCTTTTGGCAAAAATGGAAATGGGCATCTAGATGCATTCGATTTTGTTAAATTTACCTACCTACCTACCTACCTAATCATACCTACGTGTAATATTGTGATTTAGATTCTTTGTTACAGTAATTTGACTGGAATATTTTATTGCTTTTATTTGCACGATAATCTAAAATCAAAGTGGCGATCATTTAGGTGTAGCGCCAACTCTCGCCCAGATTTCAGACTTTCAGATCTGAAACATTTATTTTAGCATCAAAACTATAACCCTGAAACAAAGCAGTGAAATTTCTATTAGTATAAAACAGGAAATAAGGACATTTGATCACATTTCGGTCCGTCATAAATGAAACACTTACCAAATTTTTAATATCATCTCCCTCTTCTATCACACCAAACCAAGGTGAGCTATAGTGTCATTGACACTTTCATTTTACTTGCCGTGATGGAGCTGACAATGAGCTGACATCCACTGGCATCGCTGTCCAGCTTGCTTTGCCTCCATGCCTTACCCATAAACCCCAAAAAGCATTTTTTTCCCCCTTCATAACAACTGCATGTTGTTAAAAAGTAAGTTGGCTTGAGGACTCTTCTTTGAAGGAAATGTTTGCCTTGGTGCCTGTCCAATGTGACATGGTTCCCTGAATTTTCTGATTGGCCATAAGGCAAAATTCACTGCACACAGCACATCTTTAGAAGAGTTCAAGCTTTTACTCCTTAGCCTTGGGCGTTCATGTGACAGGCCATTGAAAAATTGAAGATTGTGATAAACAGTCCTCTGTGATGAGGTGGGGACTGTGACTCACACTCCTGGGGCCCATTCCAGAAACAAAATTAGTTTTAACATTAGACATAACTTCACGATGTCTCTGACAGCGAGCCCCTGGACAAAACTACAGTTTTAAGGGGGTGAGAAGTAAAAGATTTATTGATTTATTGTTTATTACAAAGTTTGTATTAATTGAGCGATCACAAGGCCTGATACCTTCTGTGTTTTAGGTTATAACCACCTTTCTGTTTCTTTCCTGGCTGCTTTTTACTTTGAGAAGTATACAAAATAGCTCAATTATAAGATTTGTTATTTAAAATAAAGATAATTAAATTAA